GGGGGGGTTGGTGGAGCTGACAGTGGGGGGAGGGTGCTCACAGTGGCAGATATAGGAGAGAGGGGTACTGAAGGTGGGTGAGTGGTCCTGATGGTGGGTGAGATGGGGGGCAGGGGTGCCAATGCGCCGCTGATGGGGGTTCAGTACTACCAACGGTGGGTAAGATAGGGCAGAGGGGTGGTTACAGCACCTGGTGGGTAAAATGTATCACTGCCTAAGGTTGAGGGAGAAGAGGAAGGCAGCAGCTCAGTATAGGGGCGTATCACAGGCCAGTCCACGGAGGAAGGCCGTAGGTGGCTCTCTGCTGACCGGCCACCGTACCTGGAACTTATGCAGGAAGTACTCCGGCCACAGGATCAGGTAGACGGGGTTGATGAGGCCCAGCTTCCCCAGCAGGGGGACAGCGATGGTGGCGGCGAACCAGTATCGGGTGATGAGCGGGATGCTGCGGAACCAGTCCCCGAGATCGGACATGGCGGCGATGCCAGCGGGACACACCGGGCCCGGCACCTGCGGCCTCCACACGACGTCACGCGCTCAGCGCTGACGTGTCCGCTCCGAATTCGACCGCTTCTGCCTGTTAGGCCACGCCCCCCGTGGGATGTCATTTGCCGACCACGCCCACATCCTGCCCCGGGTCGTCACGTATAATGCAGCGGTGCAGGGACGGAACTAAGTGAAATGTGGCCACTAGATGGCAGGCTTACTGTATACAGAAGTCACGTGTTGTGAAGGACTGGGAGCAGTGGGAGAGAAGTTGTTGCTTTTTCTTTTTTTTTTTCTTACATCAGGGTTCCCCCTAACATTCCTACCAGACCTAAAGGGTATCAATTTGGGAGGGGAACTCCTTGTTTTTTTTCATTGATGTTTAACAATAAAAGTTCATGCTGAATGACATTGGGAAAGAAATTTGAATGCATCCAAAATTTTTGTTATCGGAAATGCAGATACGTTCAGATTCTTTTTTTGTTCGGAAATTTGGATGCATCTGAATGTCCGAATTACAATTCGAAAGGAAACAAATCGCACATGTCTAGTCAACATTTCTCAACCATTTTATAGTCACGGCAACATTTAAAAGTATACAGAATCTCGAGGCATCCCAGTCTGAAATGTCATAGATTTTAAGGGGGACCCCACGCAAAAACACCTAGAAAAGTGGGCTTCTTCCTTCAAATCTAAGTGCTCCCTTCAAATCGCACTTCACATCAGTGAGAGTGCGCATAGCCCACCTGAGAGCCAGCATAGCCCGCCTGAGAGTCTGCATAGCCCGCCTGAGAGTCTGCATAGCCCGCCTGAGAGTCTGCATAGCCCGCCTGAGAGTCTGCATAGCCCGCCTGAGAGTCTGCATAGCCCGCCTGAGAGTCTGCATAGCCCGCCTGAGAGTCTGCATAGCCCGCCTGAGGGTCTGCATAGCCCGCCTGAGAGTCTGCATAGCCCGCCTGAGAGTCTGCATAGCCCGCCTGAGAGTATGCATAGCCCACCTGAAAGTCCGCATAGCCCACTTGAAAGTCCGCATAGCCCGCCTGAGAGTCTGCATAGCCCACCTGAAAGTCCGCATAGCCCACTTGAAAGTCCGCATAGCCCAGTTGAAAGTCCGCATAGCCCGCTTGAGAGTCTGTATAGCCCACCTGAGAGCCTTCAGAGTTCACCTGAGAGCCTGTATAGCAACACCTGAGTGCTCGCACCGCCCACCTGAGAGCCATCACAGCAATCCTGAGAGCCCGCGGAGTCCACCTCAGAGCCCGCACAGTCCTGGTAACAGGCCACCTGAGACCCTGGAGACATCAGAGCACCACCCTGGAACAACACAATGTAGCTTCATATTATTTTATATTACTGTATAATGTATTGCTGGGATTTGTAGTCCTCTACAGCCGGCCTCCTTACTCCTTCCTATGGTTGTCTCTTCTTGCTCTTTCTCCTGGCTGCCTCACCTCTATATTCTCCAAAACAAAACAATTGCAGCGCACGGCGTTAGAGTGTTCGGGTTTCACTTGAACAAAAGGTGGCAACCCTACACGCTGATAACACGTCATCAGCTCAGAGTGCAGAATATTATCACAGTCCAGAGGAACATACACAGCTATGGTGCTCTCGGACTGATAATGTTATTGTAACTAAGGAGCTGGAAGACAGCTTGTGCTATCAGCATGGGTTGTCACATCTCAGGGGCCTCTCAAATCTGACATGTAGCGCTAAGAACCGTCATAAAAAAAGCTAAATAAGAAATGATAAGATGTTCAGTGATAAACCTGCAAACATGGAATTCCTCCTGAAGAAGAGCACAAGACTTGCTGGTATGTGAGGGTGCCAGGGCACTCTTGTGACTACAGCAGCGGTGGGTGAACTCCGGCCCTCCAGCTGCTGTGGAACTACAAATCCCATGAGGCATTGCAAGATTCTCAAAGCCACAGGCATGACTCCCAGAGACAGCTGCAGACATCCCAACTCCCCCGGACGCTCCGGGAGTCTCCCGCTATTGGATAGCGGCTTCCGGCCGCCCGGGAGAGAAACACTTCCTCCCGGAAAGGTTTATCTGATATATCGAGTAGATAAACCTTTCCCTGCAATCGTTTTTTTTTTCTGACATCGGGAGCCGCGGCCCGACCGTCAGTCAGAAAAGAAACAAAAAGGCATACGAATCCATAGCTAGATTCCTATTGGCTATTGCACTTTGCAATAGCCAATAGCAAACTAGGTAATGTACCCGCCCACTGCTGCTGTCAATCAGCAGAGGGGGACCTGAATTTTTCTATCAGGTCCTCTTCTGGTGATTGAAAGCAGCAGTGGGCGGGTGCAATAGCTAGTTTGCTATTGGCTATTGCAAAGTGCAATAGCCAATAGGAATCTAGCTATGCATTCTTATGCCTTTTTTTAATATTCTGACGACTGCAACTGTCAGAATACTAAAAACAAAATCAGAAAAAAAAACCTGCAGATAGCAAAGAAGCTATTGCTTCCTGTGCTATCTGCCATCATTTCAGGGGGGGTGCTCTCTCCCAGCCCCCCCTAACCCCCCCTCCGCGGATGGGGGGGGGGCGTAGAGGGCACCTCCCTGAAATGAGAAGCACACCTCCCTGAAATGACTTCTTTCAGGTTGGGATCCCTGCAGCTGCATGATGGGATTTGTAGTTTCACCACAGCTACAGGAGTCGGAGTTTGCCCAACCCTGGACTACAGCCTCATAGTTGTATATCAACCGTGTGAGATCTAAGGCTCTGCTGCCTCTGAATATCTCAGAAGATCTGGAGTATGGTATGAGGGAGCAGGGTGAGTCCATACCTGTGCATGGCTGTACATCCGTGTGCATGCACGTTCATGCAAGTGCAGGTGTACACCCATGTACTATGGATGTCTGTATGCAGCAGCTGAGGCTTTCAGATGGAATAAGCAGGGGCATCCCGAGGCCGCGTGTGTCACCTGGAGCTGAGACCGGGTGACACCCTGCCGTGATGTCATCGCACATGCGCGTGACATCATCACACACGTGCGCAATGACGTCATCGCATATGCGCGGCCATCTAATTGACGTCTGCCGGCGGCCATCTTAGTGATGGATGCCGACAGAGAGAGGAGGGGAAGTTCACCCGGTAGGATGAGGTATGCTGACAGGTCCCCTCCTCTCTCCTGCAGCTGTCAGGCTCTTTGTCCATGACCGAGTGCCCGACTTTTTATAGGGGGTGACACCAAAATGGCTGTCATTTTGGTGTCACCCCTTCAATGGTGTCCCCCGGGTGACACCACTGAGAATACACCAAATTTTACATTGCACACAGTGGTGGCAGCAGGGTGGGTGGCACCTGGTGCGGCTGCTGCACATTTGTTATGACATCTTTGTGATGGACGCCAGAAAAGAGAGAGGGGGATATTGACTCGGTGGGACCAGGTAGTCCACTGGGTATCCCCTTTCACTTGGCGCTCAGACCATAAACGAGTGGCCGACTTTTAAGAGGGGGGGGTGACACCAAAATCACTGTCAGTCATTCTGATGTCACAAGTGCAGGCTGCACCCACCCACGTGACGCCACTGGTTGCACTGCCCCAACCCCCTATGTGCGTGAGGCTCAAACATTACATCCAGTACTGGCAAACTGCCATACTTAAAAATGGCTGACACAGATGTTTCCTCTGCCCTTCCCTGAACCTCGATGGCGTTCTCGGTTATATTATGTCGTCATTATTTATTTGATTACGAGAGATATGTCTGCCCACAGTTTCTTGCAGTTCCAAACGTTCTACGCTGCAAGAATGAATAAGGTCATGAACGGTCGCAGCCGGTCTCTGCGACCCAGTGTGAGCCTGGACCCACGTAGGGGTACGTCACATGTTGAGGCCGGTCGATGTTATACGTCACATGTGGAGGCGGGGCGGAGGGGTACACGTCACATGTGGAGGCGGGGCGACGGGATACAGAGGAAGTTTGAAGTTCCCGCTGTGGAGCGCGGCTGCTCAGGTGTAGGGTGCCAGGGGGGCGGGGCTTGTGTAACTCCCAGCACAGGCAAAGCACACAGCGAGAACACACAGCAAGGAGAAGACATACACACAGGGCTTACACAGCAAGGAGGACACACAATTTCTGCTATCCAGTATAGAGCTGTTTTGTCTATACACACTTGCAGGTAACACAGACCCACAACTTGTACTTGCTGCATATACACACAATTGCTGCCATATAGCACAGACCCACAACCTGTGCTAGTCACACATTCCTCACACTCGGCCACAGCACAACCTTTGCACACTTTGTATATAGACACGCACAGACCTGCAGCAGAGCAGTGACAGGAGTGCGGGTCTGTGACACAACACATACACAGCCTCAATATACATCTGCATACACACTACTAGCAACCTCTGCACACACACACACACCCACAACTGCTACAAAGATTGGACAGGGCCAGCTTATATTCCCACAGCCAGGCGGCAGCATACAACAAGAATACAGACCCGCTGCGCTCTGTTTAGCTTCCACGTTTTTATATTTGCACGGCAGCACAACCTGTGTGTACACAATCTGGTGTATATGCTGTGATATGACACATGCAGCATACAAACACACACACAGGGTGTGTGTGTGATATACACACTATGCTGTGACACATCTAGCGTACACACAGTGCTATAACTGCTGCACGGTGTTGATATTGACCAGCACTGCCGGTGTAAACCCGGGACTCACACACTTACCTGATGTACACAACAGATGTAACACAGCTGGACTGCGCACTTGGAGGTAATTAATACTCGCATAGTGTTGGTGCATTTTTACAACACCATAGTCAGAGAAGCAGATTCTGTATAGTAGCCATATACAGTTCATACCAACACAGCGCAGAACGGCGAGCATTCAATTCACCTTCAGAAGTCAGAAGAAGATTGATATCATCCTGGTGACATCACATCCTCCAGGGGGCGCGGCATCATGCAGACCACGGATCTGGGCAGCAGAGAGACTGGCAAGGTCTGGCACAGGAAGCCCACGCCGACTTCCAGTGACGGGTAAGGACAAAGACTTTTACATTCATGAAATCACTCTTCTATAAAATCAGCACCGGCATGTTACTCCCCCTGCAGTACCAGGATGTCCATCGGCTTTCAGTGCTGGGATAGTATGCATGACGATGACTCTGTAACCAAACTCCATTTTATATCATGTTTTTTGGGGACAGGTGCAGCTTTCTTTTGGTGCTATTTAAAGGGTTATTAAACCCTCACGTTTTTGCATATATATATCTAGCAAGCAAGCAGTAGACATATGCAAAAGCTTTAAAAAAAAAACTTTTGAAACAGGTTGAAGCTTACCTGTGTCTTCACCGCGCGCTCCCGTCCGAGCATCTGAAGAGTCTCAGGCGGCCGCAAAGGATCTTGGGGCTGGGTGCATACGCACTTCAGATGTTCGGCCGGGAGACGAGGAGAGACACAAGGTAAGTCTATGGAGCAGCGTGCACCCGCACAGACTCCGTGGGACATGAGAGAAGAGGACAGAGGAGTCAGCGCTGGATCAGAGATCCGCAGCGCTGGAGGGACAGCTGATAAGGACAGAAAAGAAGATCAAATAAAGAGACATCATTCAAGGTAAGTCCCTACAGCAGGATTGGGAAGGGGGGAAAAAAAATCAGATTTTAATGTCACTTTAAAGGAGAACTATGGGGTCAGGGCTTTTCCCCATAGTTCTCCTTAGGGTAACGGGACGACACAAACTAGCGTCCTCCCGTTACCCTAAGCTCAGTATACCGCGAGCTACAACTCGCGGGATACTGAGACGCCGGAGCGGATCCCGACATCAATGTCGAGATCCGCCCAGCTGCGTGAGTGACAGCTGGCTCTGCCTATCTAGAGGCAGAGCCAGCTGTACCCGCCCCCTCCCCCGTCCGTTCCGCCAGTCAGCGCTGGCGGATCGGAGCAGGGAGGGGGGAATCCAGCCCCTCCCCTGTCACGGCAGAGAGCCGTGACAGGATTGAGAGGTGAGCGAACGCCGGTATGTGTTCGCTCACCTCCCAATCTACTGAGCCGACCTGTGACAGTCTCATTGTCACAGGTCGGCTAGAACTGAGGTGAGTGGAAATCACTCATCTCATAGTTCTCCTTTAACAACTACTTTGAAAAACTGTTAACTATATTATAAGAAGAGACCAAAAAATGTGGGTAAAAAAACTGTTTCTCTTCACAAGAGGACTAGGAGTGCCCTGCTGGTGAGAGCTTGCAAGCTAGAGGAGGAAGCAAGTGATACACAAGGTGACGGCTATGGGGGGATGAGCTGATGGAGAAAGTGAATGTTCATCGGTTAGGTAGACGTGGGATCGGCTTCCCTGAAGAGGTGAGTTTTCAAAGATCGCTGACAGGGACGGAGATAGCCGGACAGATTGGGTTAGGTTCCAGAGGATGGAAGAGGCTCTGGAGAAGTCCTGAAAGCAATCATGGGAGAAGGTGATGAGGGTATTAGAGAGCAGGGGGTCCTGGGAGGAGCACAGGACGGTTTTGGTGATATTTGGAGATGAGGTGGGTGATGTAGTGGAAACAGAGTTGTAGATGGCTTTGTATGTTATTGTAAAGCTACCCATACACTATGAACCGGCCGAAATTCGCACAGTGGGTGGGGCTGTCGGCACCCTTTTAGCCGCCATCCCTTGATCGGCTGATTGAAGGAGCCGGTCCGAAGATCTTCAATCTCAATACAAATTAGTAGGGATGCACCCATACTGGTTTTTCAGTATCGAGTACTGATACTTTTCTTTCGGTACCATGTGCCCGATTATCAGGAAGTCGGGTAGCAGATTATGACCCGTTGCCAGGCTTCCTGATTGTCTGTGAAGCCGGTGTTCTTGCGAAAGAAAACCGGCTTCAAATGCCGAGGCTGCCTGGCTTCCTGACCAATCAGGAAGCCAGGCGGCGAGTCATGAGGTGACGTCCAGCTTCCTGATTGGTCAGGAAGCCGGGCTGTCCAGCAACAGGTGAAGCCGGCTTCCTAGCCGATCAGGAAGCCGGACAGCTTGTCATGACCTGCCTCCCGGCTTCCTGATTGGCTAGGAAGCCGGCGTCACTTGTTGCTAGGTAGCGTGGCTTCCTGACCAATCGGGAAGCCGGGCCGGGAGTCATGATGTGCCGTCCGGGTTCCTGATTGTTTAGGAAGCCAGGCTGCTTACCAACAAATGAAGCAGGCTTCCTAGCCAATCAGGAGGTGGGGTGGTATGGCATGACCCGGCTTCCTGTTTGGCTAGGAAGCTGGCTTCCTGACCAATCAGGAATCCGTGAGGCGGGTCCCTCTGACCGGAAGTTCCGGTATCGGAGGTACATATCGGAGCATTTGGGAGAGTTCGAGTACTCTGTATTGGTACCCATCCTAGTATCGGTGCATCCCCACAAATTAGTAAACTGTACTTGAGATTGTAGTCCATCACAGGAGTGAGCTTGGAGAGGTGACTACTTTACAACACACACAGGGACCATGAGGAACAAAAGTAGCCACCCTCCAGATGGAAGGACAGTGTCATCACCAATTCAGAGATGATTTGAGGATCTACAGCCGAGTGATACACAAATAAGATACATTGTTGTTTATATTTAAAGTGACATTAAAGTAAAAAAAAAAAATTCCCTCCCCCCAATGTTAATGTCAGCACTTACCTTAAATGACATCTCTTAATCCGATCTTCTTCTTTCCTGTCCTTTTCATCTGTCCCTCCAGCGCTGCGGCGGGTCTCCGATCCAGCGCTGACTCCTCTCTGCTTGCTGGTACTTCCTGTCCCACGGTGTCTGCATGCGGGTGCACGCGTCCATAGACTTACCTTGTGTCTCTCCTCGTCTCCCGGCCGAAAATCCGAACTGCACATGTGCCCGCCCCAAGATGCTTTGCGGCCGCCCAAACATTTTCGGCTTTTCGGATGGGAGCGCGCGGGGGAAGACGGGTAAGTTTAAACCGCTTTTAAAGCGTTTATTTTTTTTTACTTTTTGCATATATCTACTGCTTGCTAGCAGTAGATATATGAAAAAAACGGAGGGTTTAGAACCCCTTTAACCTCTTGCCGTCCGCCCGTAGTAAAAAAACACGGCACTGCTACATCTGCGGGTTGCCAATTTTTTTCTGCTCGCGCGCGCCCCCTGGCGGGAACGCACGGGCAGAAAAGACCCGACGATTAAACACACCCGTTACCGGGTGTTTCACATATAGGCGATCAGCGGGTCCATAGCCCGCCGATCGCCTATATGTGCTCGTTCGCGGCACATATATCTCTGCGCACAGATCTCTGCTTCATCAGCTTCTTTTGGGGTCCACAGGTGATATTAGGGGTCCTAGAGACCCCTAATATCTCCATAAAGAGGACCTGTCATAAATTTCGGTAATTTTTCCTTAATATAGTAAAAAAATAAAACCCCCAGTGGTGAATAAATACCACCAAAAGAAAGCTCTATCTGTCCCCAAAAAAGGGTATAAAATTCATTTCAGTACAGCGCTGCATGACGGAATAAATGTCAGTCAAAGTACCGCAGCGCTGAATACTGAAAAATGGCCTGGATGGGAAGGGGGTTTAACACCGCGGATGTCAACTGGTTAAGGTACTTAAAATGTATTTTTTTTAGATTTATCTCCTGAGTTTAGTGTCACATTTTTCTATCCATGATACATTGTTCATGTCTGTATTGCAGTGTGTATTCATTCATATTCTGTGTTTCCCCCCATGTATCTGCTCTTTCTGTCCAGGATTATAGTGAATCTGATGCACGGAGCCGCAGCTTCAAACACCCAGACAAAGCGCTTTCTGCAAGTAGCCTTCGATGGTGCGGGCGATTCCTTCCTCGCCGGGGATCACTTAGGAAACATCTATCTGTTCAACCTAAACAGAAACAGGTGAGAGGCTTGCACACCTCCCTGCTCATGTGTAAAATATTAAATAGCATCTCCAGGCAACACATGAAGCCGATGATTGAATGATTGATGCGGTCTGTTAAAGGTGAACCCCGGGCACAGAAACTTTCATTGAAATATATTCCAGAATGAATCAGAGTAGATATAATCCCGCACAGTTCAGGTACGATCAGATTAGGTCAGCTGGTATATCACAAAGATAAGTACACGGGGATCCTCTATGTTCATACATCACGGCAGGCATCTTCTTGTGACAGAGGGGGTAAGCTGGTACCATGCGGAAGCAAAAATACACAGTGTGCTGGCCTTGTGTAATACAGAAGACTATTGAAATGTAAAAGTCACACATTTAGAAGACAAACCAGCATATAAAATTAACCAGCAAATAACATGAATGAGAGGGATGGAGCAACAACGACCACCACCAGCATTCGACAGGCGGCTAGCAGCAGCTAATACTGGAAATGGCTGACCCGTTTCACTCCCTTTCCTCAGAGCAGGTATTTTTTGCACTTATTGAACAGACATAACAAAATCAGTAAATCAGAGAGTGCAACTTGTAAAGCTGGCCATACATTACACGAATTTCAGTCACTTCATGAACCCTTTCGGCCGGCATCCCTCCAATCAGCTGATCGAAGGAGCCGGTCGGAAAATCTCCCAATGAACAGAGCCAGCAGCCAAAGAACAGCCATCTCTGTTTGGGTATTCTGACAGTGGCCGCCATTAGAATACAATGAAGACAGGAGATTCCACAAAAAAATGAAAAAAAGGCCTCAGTCATGAAGGGGTTAAAAAGTTTATAAAATAAAATATTTAAAACATTTTTGAAAAAATTTAAATATTTTTTTTGGTTTCGGCCTGACAGGCTGGCAGGGTCGCTTTTGGAGTAATAAAGGGTAACAGAACACACAATAGAGTTTGCCGTCACTTGTGAAACTGCTGCTTTGGGATCTCATAGCTGCTTAAAGGCTATGCTTACCTATTGGACCATGTTTCATGTTAGGCCCCGTTCCGGGACAGTTTGGCCGTGCGGATCCGCCAACATGAACAATCCCATACATTGCTATGGGGACCGTCCATGCGACAGCGTGGGGCCACTCAATCCGAACTGCCCTCCGCCCGAATTGCTCCCTGACCCTTTTTTGCCACGCTGATCATTGCGGTTTCCATTCAGCTTTCAATGGAACTGTTGTGTTCAGCGCGGTTGTGGGCATTTCAGCGCTGAAACGCAATTAAAAACTCCCAAAATAGCCCTTTTAAAGTCAGCGCGGAAACCTCTCTCATCCGCAACCGCTCTGGTGTGAATGGAGCCTTACACCCATATTCAGGGTGTAACATGAAACATAGTCACATCGCAAACCCCAACAGCCACCGCGGCAGAGAAACCTGTGGTACTCTGGAAGACAAGTGCAGCCGTCCATTTATTCTTCCTCCCGTTGTTCTTACTGAATGTACGTACCTCAGTAGAGACAGGGCAAAAGGGAGTATCTTCAGGAGCCAGAGCATTGCACTCATGATCCACTGATCGCAGTTGCAATACTGTACTGGCTGCAATGCAAAAAAAATTATAAACGCACATTTTTTTCTTTCATGAAGGAGTAGTCATTTATTATTCTTATGTTAATGGTGGACTTTACCTTTTAAGTATTTGGTCACATGATCTCTGCTGAAAAGGATTAAAATTAAGACTGCCAGTCCCCTCCACAAAATGCCATGTGATCTCAGAATAGTGGTTTCTGAAGGTAAGTCTTTCCCTCCTTCTGTTACATTTTACATCATTAAGGAGCATATTGACCGGGCTATTGAAGCGTTTTAACAATGAGCCCTTTGGTTTAGAGCAGTAGTTCTCAACATGTGTAACCTCAAGACCCACATTTGTCCCTGGTCCTTAAGTCATGACCAAGTCGCACCACACTGGAATGCACGCCATTGCGGTACCGTGTGTTCCGGTGCGGGCGGTTGAACTGTGGGTGCATTTGGGGTGCCATTCAAATCAATGGTAATGCAACACACCTCCCACACCAGAATTCGTGGTAGGTGCGATTTTGCGTGATACAGTGCATTAATCGTACGGGACTCTGCGATTAACGTGCTGTAGTTGCGTGAGCGGGCCCTCACAGACACACAACACTGCAGACAATCTCACACACACAGACATTCTCATATACACACTCCAAAAATGTTTTCTTTTAACTTTAAGATCCTCCCAGTTTCCTTATCTTACGAGTGGATCCTCAGCCTGGGGTCCAGCGTGGGCTGCTGTGCTGTGACGGAGCTCCATCCATATGTGCATTGCTTGTACAAGTCCCTTGTGCACCCTGTAGAGGTGCCGAGAGCCAGAATGTGATGTCACTTCGGTCCAGGCACCTCTATAAGACTCGGAGGGAGCTGTAAGCAATGGAGCTCCCTCGTGGCCATAGCCCCATCCCACCGTAAGCTGACACTCGGTGCTGGGCTGCATATTCTGAATGGCTGCTTGGCGCAAGAACTGACAGTGCTGCGCTTTGGGGAGGATGAGGAGCCTCTCACCTTGAACAGTGGAAGGTATGCCACGACCCACCAGTTGAGAACCAAAGGTTTAGACCCCTTAGCACTGCAGTGTAAATTATAATGCTCGTCCTTCTGCTGTCCATAGGACAACTGATCTTTGCTGGTTTAATAAAGATTTCAAGACATCTCTTTTGTATGTGTGTGGTCATGGTGCAATATTTTATATGTAAGGAGGATCATAATCACGTTTCTACCATTTCCCCGCTAGGTTTGATCTAGTCCAGAGAACGATGCAGGCGTGCACAGCATTGGCATTCAACTTGCACAGGAAGTCTGAGTTTCTCGTGGCTCTTGCTGACTATTCTGTGAAGTGCTTTGACAAAGGTAACAGCGGCCCCTTTTCTGACTCTGTTCATGAATGTTCAACAAGTACTTGACCCCGGCGCGATTAGTAGCTGATCGGTCTTTTCTGTTCTGGGAAGGTTGAACGATCTTCGCACACTGTGCTGCTCCTTGACAAGGACCAGGAACCTTCACTAACACAATAAAAACAGAACACAGAGCGCCCCTGGCATGTGCATGATCCTTTTATTCAACAACACTTGATATTAAAAACATACTCGCAAAGGTGCGATCATGTACAGCCTGCGACACTCCTTCAATTCAGCGTGGGAAGTGTAGAACCAATATAGAAAAATTCACACAGAGAGCGCCGATCCGCTAGCTGGCATGCCGCCTCACGACCGATTGTCTGTGTCCACGGCTGACATGTTTCTGGGGCACACCCCCTTCATCAGAGCCACCAATTTGGTCCTACCTCTACCCCCTAGGCTTAACAAGCATTCAACACTTGCACGGGCCACTTTAAGGGTTAGTTTTTTGTTTGTTTTTTCCAACCTGGATTTGGTTCACTGCATATTATACTGCTTTATGGTTTAAATGTTTATTGTAAAGTATAAATTCTTAAATAGGATTTCACCCCCAGTCGTCTTCCAGGACAGCGTGTGAGGGGAGGAACCCCTGTCTCTCCCTGTTGACCTGGAAGACTACAGAAAATGATTTGTAAGTTTTAACTCTGGTTTTCTCCTAGTCGTCTTCCACGACAGCAGGGAGAGAGACAGATGCTCCTCTCGTTACATGCTGCCTGGAAGACTACTGGAAAAAGTCACCAGTAAGTCTAACTCAGTTTTGTTTTTTATGTAGATAGCAAAGAACTGGTGAGCTGGATGCGTGGACACGAGTCCACAGTCACATCGATCTCTGTACACGGTTCTGGCCGTTATGCGGTCACCACTTCCAGTGACACTGCTCAGCTCTGGGACCTGGATACTTTCCAGAGGAAGAGAAAACTGAATGTTCGCCAGTCTGTCGGGATACAGAAGGTCAGGATCAGGAGTATGAAAAACTGTAATTTCAACTAAAACTTGTATATCACACGCAATAGGTTGGACTTGATGGACTTATGTCTTTATTCAACCTCAAATACTATGTAACTGTGTGAGATAAATAATAACGAATATTTGTTCTGAAACCCGAATGATGGCTGCAATCCTGCTGATTGCTTTCTTTCTTGGATGCCATGCTGAGCCACTAACTTGATTCCAGCAAGTTAGTGGCTCACAAAATACTGAAGCCAGGGAATCCGCATAACAGCTAACAATGAACAATTTCAGCTCAACAATTGATATTTTTATAATAACTTTAAAGTGAATCTGCTGTTAAGTTATCAAAAACAAAGTTTTGCATGGTTCCCGATAGCTTGAAACTCATGGTGATTTATTTTGTCCCTTAAAAAGCAAAATGATACAGCCCCACGCCATCAATGGTTCTCGCATAATATGCAATAAATGTGCTACTGGCAAATCCAGCTACAGAGAGTGATGACATCTGTATTGTCTTGTGGGAAGGGCAGATATAAACTTCCCCAGTCTTTCCAGTGTCATCAATTGGTTACACAGTATAGAGGTTGATAGGGGGCTTACCCTGCTGGTACTCGGCCCTAAGTGGAACACCAGTCTTAAGTGAGGTTGGCTATTTAAAAGCCGTTGTACTGCATTTCCTGGATATTTTGTGTGACCCGTCTGTCATTTTTATCTGTTTAGGTATTTTTTCTTCCACTAAGTAATACAATCCTGAGCTGTTTTAAGGACAATTCCATCTTTGCCTGGGAAAGCGATACTCTTGCCTGCAAATACCAGCTGCCATCTCCCGAGGATGAGTCCATGGTGCGATATAAGGCTTTTGCTGTTACAAGGTATGATGGGCGCCTGCAGACGGGTGGTGGGGGTCGGGGGGGAGCAGTTGAAAACCTTCCTTTTTGCCTTCCTTCCACTTACTTTTCTGAAGCTGCATTGAGTTGCACAGGGCTATGATTGTAGGTTAGTGCGATTCTAGCAGACATGCTTTACTGTATACAATACTACAATCCTTTGCTGTCTGTTGACCAATGGAGGGAAAAGCAAAGTGGAAGAAAGATGGGATAAGTGTATCAAACTATAAATGAGAAAATAAAGAATACACAGTACAAATGTAACAGGGAGACATGGGCTTCAGTCTTTCCAATATACAATTACTATTTATTTTGTTGGGTAATAAAGCATGACATAAAGGGACGGCACCAACAATATTCTGCAGCTTGTTGCTTTATTTCTTTCTGCTAGGTTTTGCTTCTGATCAGAGTACACTTGTGTAAGCTGACTTATACTAATAACATTATTTTGTTGTTTGCAGGGACGGGAGGATGTTGGCAGCTGGAGGAAAATCCAACAACGTACATCTGTGGTGCCTGACCTCCAAGCAACTATTCAGAGTCCTGCAGATGCCCAGCATGGTGCGGAGCGTGCGCCAGCTCGAGTTCCTCCCTGACAGCTTCGACGGTGGATCCAGTCAGGTGTGTGCTTGACTGCCTTGGATTGCATACATTGTCTGTTACCAAGATGCATACTCCCATCTGAGGCCATAGCGGAATGAAGGGGTAGGGGTGGGGTTGTGCACCTTGTTCCCATTTTTAAGGCCATTAATTTACTAAGCAAAAAGTCCCATTTGCAGAGACACCCTGCAGCACTGCAAGTAACATGGGTCAGATGACAACTTTAGAAGGTGCATAGATACACATTGCTGTACTAACTGACATGTGGCAGCCAGTACAGGAGGATTTTCATTGCATGTTTTGCAGCCAAGTTAGCAGCTTCTGGTAATATTGCACTCTATAATAATAGAGTTTTCTCATGGTAGAAGTCTCTAGTTCATATTCCTGTATGTGACTCAGATCTACCATTCCCGACACCACCATTACTCAAGCCAGTGCAAGAGGCCCAGTAGAGATATTAATAGCCAAGGATTAAAATGAAGGGGCCGGGCAGAAGCCTCTTTGTAGAGGGCTGCTTTTATTACATCACTGCGGAGTCCTGTAGAGACGTAGTGGTCGGCGGATGGAACCACAGCAGGGAACACGGGTATCTGCAGCCCGTAAGCTTAGTATACAACCTCTTCTATTGCAGGGAGCTGACATTTGGATTTCTTTAGAGACCTAAGAGGGTCTCTTCAATGAGTCAAATATATCTTATCAAATAACAGTTTACTATATTTCATTGTTTTGAATTGAATTCTTAGTCTTTGCTATTTATTGCACAACATTGCTTCTTGCAGATATTACTGTATCAGTTAAGTTAAAGTGACACTAAACTTTTTTTCAATAATGAATCCAGATTAAAGGAGAACTATGAGATGAGTGATTTCCACTCACCTCACGAGCTGTAGCTCGCGGTATACTGAGCTTAGGGTAACGGGAGGATGCTAGTTTGTGTCCTCCCGTTACCCTAAGGAGAACTATGGGGAAAAACACTGACCCCATAGTTCTCCTTTAAACAAATATACATTGTCCAGCAAAGCATTGCTTTACCCAAACACTTAGAATCATCATGCTTCTGAACAGCTGCTTCCACGTCTCTCAGCTCGGAGGAGTAGCTTGATTTGCTGTGTTTGTGGAGAGACACACACAACTTACTGGTACACACACAAGTGTGAGTGCATAGCACTCTGCTGGAAAAAGGAGTCACTCTAAAACAGCAGATCAGTACCAGAGCTCAGGGGACCGGCTGATTGTGGAGGAAACTAAAACTTTTGAAAAATCAAGGAGCAGCATCCATTGTGATTTCATCAGCATTTGAAATAGCTTATAATTTAAAATGACTTTAATATCACTTTAAATCTTAAATACATTCAAGTACCTTATTTACAAAAATGTATCTTATTTGTGTATCACTCGGCTGTAGATCCTCAAATTATCTCTGAATTGGTGCTGACACTGTCCTTCCTTCTGGAGGGTGGCTACTTTTGTTCCCCATGTTCCTGTGTGTGTTGTAAAGTAGTCACCTCTCCAAGCTTGCTCCCATGATGGACTACAATCTCAATACACATTAATAAACTAGATGTCAGATTGTAGTCCATCACGGGAGAGAGTTTGCACCTGTTTACTTACAAGGAGTACAATTGAGTATATGCCAAGTAGCTCAAGGATACAAACAATTAAAAAAAAACTAAGCCAGGCATACAGCGGTGCACATAAGCTTTAACACTTAACTTTAGGGCCCATTCACACCATGTCCGGATCATCTCCAGAGCAGACCAGATTGTTTCCGGACTCAAAATGCATCTTGATGTATCCCTATGCTAGAAACATACTGCATGTCTCATTTTGTCTGGTCTGGAGTGCACTAGAACTGCGGGCAGGTTCGCACCATTTTCCGGACCACATCTGGTCCGTAAAATGGTGTGAACCTGCCCTGAGTGTAGTCTGCAGAGTGGTCAGGTATCTGTCAGGGATGCCTGGAACACAAGACTGGCTGAACAGAATTACAATTGCCTTTGCAATGTAAAATTGTTTAGAAGTTTTATGATTTTCAGCTAGAGTTCAGTGTTACCTTTTGTATACAAACCAATCTTTAATTTTAGTACCCCTTCAATGAGCCCATACTTATTTCTGTTGTTGCATTGCATATCTGTTTGAACATTTTGTAATGTATATGATTGCTGTAACTATCCTTTTACCATCCTTATCCTAGTGATGTTAGTTTACATCTCTGCTTGAACTTTTTCCACTATTCAGGAAAGTTGTAACTTTCTTTTCCTGCAGGTTTTAGGTGTGCTGAGTCAAGATGGGATAATGAGGTTCATAAATATCCAAACATGCAAACTTGTGTTTGACATTGGAAGCCATGATGACGGCATAGTGACATCCTGTATTAGCCCAAACGGACGATACATTGCCGGCGTCATGGAGAATGGCAGTGCGAACTTGTACAGCGTTCAGGCTTTGACCAAGGAATTCAATAAGGTGAGATGTATTGAATAAAGGTGGAATTTATTAAATGCATAATAAGTGCCGTGTGCGGCTCGTTCACATGTATAAACCTGGAGCTTACCTTGTGATTTCTCCCTCCTAATGGTCACAATTGCATCAACTCCAAGATGTTTTGTAAGTGGCACAGAGTTGTAGATTCCATTATTAATGCGTTATGCACATTCATTATATCTCCTGTCCACAAAGATAATCTGTGTATAGATTGCCATTAAGATGTTAACTCTAAGACCCCGTTCACATTGAGCGATTTATCGCGCGGTAATTCCCGCGATATCGCGGCAAATTACCGCGCGATATCGCGCTCCAATGCAATCCAATGGGGCAAAGGGTCCTGCTGTCGCGGGTCGTATGTCGCTACAGCAGGACCCTTTTTGGAGCGGATTTAGCCGCGATTCAAGCTTGCTCAATGCAAGCTTGAACGCGACATCGCGTGGCAAATCTCGCGATGTCGCGCAAATATGCAAATCGCGCGACAAACGCGCGATTTGCATATCGCGCAGTGGGAACGGGGCCTAAATGTACTTCTGTATACGTTTTTTTTCCCGGGCTGTGGGATAGCTGATATTAGAAGCTATCCCCCCCCCACACACCCACACACACACACACACACACACACACACACACACACACACACACATCCAGTGTTTGTTTCTATTATCAAGGGGCTGATGTATGCAGTTTGCATGGCATTACTGCCACTAGATGGCACTGATGAGCATAGGAAATTCCTATGCTCCTCCGCACCATCTCGTGGTGGTAGTTCAGTGCAAACAGTAACTCCCCGGCCTTACGATGGGTAGAAGAGTTATAGATCAGCCCCTAAGTGTCCAGTATATCTTATTTTTGCAGCCTCCGCCGCCACTTGTAAAAGCGGTTGATTTAAGTAAAGACAAGGACTCCACGGTGGACAAGTCTAAAGCCAGTAGTGAGAGAATTAAAGTGTCAGCTAGCCGGATATGTCGCCCTTGGAAGTCAAAGGAAGAAATAGTGAAGACACGAATTCTGCGGCCAGACGGGGATGAGAATGACAGCAATAAAGAGGTCTGTTCTAAATGAATGCTTTCTAGAAATTACCTTTGTGCTGGTTTTCCAAAATGTAGGAGGTGCATCACTTTTGGCACTGGTCCTTGCTATAGCAGGCTTTGTAGGAGAACATGCGTATTGTTGTGACAAAATCCAGCGGCAGATACTACAGCAAGCATATTGATATAACGTGTGAGCTTATATAGTTCACTGTCACACTGTTTGGGGGCCAGACTACTGTGGTCAATAGGAGAAGAAACAAAATTACTTGGCATCTGGGGCCAGTAGGTGTGAACATGCCCTTATGTTGGTGCTCAGTGGGAATAAAAATTGCCCTTGTATTGCTGCGTAGGAGGAGTAAAAATGGCTCCTATGTCGGTGCTCAGTAGCAGTAAAGTATATAAGATATATCCTTTTTTTTGGCACAGTAGTGTGCAGGGAATCTTTGCACTTGGCTAATGGCCGGGCCCACAGTGCTTCTCTCTCGTATAAACTGATCAAGCCCTTGCCGTTTTCTCTGTCTGTTATATTACACATGTAAGCAGGTGCCTTGAGTGAGTCTGGTCCTTGAATGTTGCTGCACCTCTTAGGAGGGGAAGGGGTTAGCTTCTAGGTAAGCTTGGTTTCAGTTTATTCCTTATCCAGATACGCCAATGTGGACCTCAATGAGCTGCTTCTATGAAATATCAATCTTGTTAATAGTTTTATCTTTGTGATTACTGCAGAATGTGTTGCCAACTGGACTGAACAAGCAGCGGCTTCTAACGTTATTGAAGGGCTTTGGAGAATATCCAACGAAATACAGGTAAAATATATCACAATAATGTGTTTTTTATTTGTAGTTTGCAGACTTAAAGCGGACCTTTACACTCAAAAATCAAATTCTACCAATGCATCCCTCTATGTATGATGATTAATAATAACATAGACATGTCGGGTAAAATGCTGTGATTTGTGAAATACTTATCCTTGCAGAGCATTCACTTCCTGCTTTTGAAAGGGCAAAATGACTTTCAGTTTGCCAAAGGGAAATCTCATCTGTAGTCTTAGGAGATCTCGGGGAAAGGCATTTTCCTCCCCTGAGATGATGTGTATGGTCACATGTCTAGTCCTGTGCCTGAAATCCAGGAAGTAAAAGGAGATAGTGATCTGCCCTTAGTAAACATGGCCACTGTCAGAAAAATGGAGAAGAGAAATAAGGTATGCAAAAGAATACAAGCATGTGATTGTAGATCGTCATTACTAAAGATTTCTAAAGGTGTGTTTGTTATTTTAAAGATATGGGGAAAGGTCCGCTTGATAGAAGAACTCTGGGTAAAAATGTTAACGCTTTCAGTGTGACTACACCCACACTGCAAGGGTTAAGTACTCGTTTTTGCCTAGGGTCAAAAATAAGATACTCACCCAATCCTCTGAGCCAGCTGGCTGTAACAGCGCTCCCTCCTGCCTGTCTCTTCTTCCTCTGCAGCGATGATATGTCCCTCATCATCATGTCCTATACACTGTGTATAGAACGTGATGACTCCCAGACCTTAGACCGCTGGAGAGGAGGGGGGAGAAGGGCTCCAGGGACCCGTCTAAGGGCATGCTGGCTCTGAGGATTTTTTTTTTTTTTTAACCCTAGGAAATAAACGAGCACTTAACCCTTGCAGTGTGGGGGTAGCCTCACTGCAAGGGTTAATAACATTTTTACCTGGAGCTCTGCTTTAAAAAAATTAAAAAGTGATCCTTTCCAATCTCCAAACAAGTGAACGTAGTAGTACCCTCATCGCTCCACCAGCTGTTTCCATCGCACTCCTTTACCTAAAAATGTGCCTCAAAACTGAACTGTTACTGATATGCAAATTTTGGCTTTTGTCACATGCTGAACCCTCATTTCCATCTCTAACCTCTTCCCCCTGACTGTCGGCCTATGTAGAAAACAGCAACAGGCACAGGATCGGGTAGGTGTCATCGCTCTTACAGCCTATGTTTGGCTGCCAGGCTTGACCTTCTCTATGCTGTGCTAGAAGCAAGATGGTGGCAGCAATGTGGTGGGAAAACCAGGGCTTGACAACAGGCTGGAGCTAATCCAAAGGTTGTGTATTGGCAAGTTAATCATTAGCTGAACAGGTCATATTTCACAGCGTTTCTGTAAAGAGAGGATGATTTCAAGATGATATTATATAATGGGGCTTAATATTTTTATTCATGTCATAGTCAGAAAACTAAATTTTTTTGGAAGGGGGAAAGTTTATTTTAACATACTGGTTGTTTTTTTGTTTTTTTTTTCTTGCTTGATACCTTTTATTGGCTAACGTAATTTTTCAGATGCAGCTCTATAGAATCACATTAGGTTCTTTTTGTCAGGTATTTTGTAATACAAGATCAGTATAATGCCTGAAATGTAACACATTTTGAAAGTGCGATTAAAAGGTGTCCCTCAAAGTGGACCTTGCTCCTAAACCATAAGATCTGTTTATTTAGTGCGTCCCCCCCCTCTTTCCCTTGCTGAAAATACATTTACCTAAAAAATAAAACTTCACACACTTCCCCAAGCTTACTACGAGTTAGTAAACCTGCTCATCACACTGCTTGGCCAGGAGTGAGTCATAAGAGGGGTCAGGCAGAGCCGGCACCCACAGAAAGAAATCGCTATTTATGTATTGGAGAACCCCAGTTTTCAAGGTGCTCTGTAAAGAACAGAACAGCCGTTCAGGCCTCCGGAGGTGCTGCTCTAAAAGGGTAAGTGGTAGTTTTAATAATTTGCTATAGCCACAGGTTCACTTAAAGGAGAACTATGGGATCAGGGCTTTTCCCCATAGTTCTCCTAAGGATCACGGAGAACACAAACTAGCGTTCTCCCGTGACCCAAAGCTCAGTATACCGTGAGCTACAGCTCGCCGTATACTGAGACGCTGCAGCCGGAACGGATACCGACATTGCTGTCGAGATCCACCCAGCTGCAGGATTGACAGCTGGCTCTGCCTATCCAGAGCCAGCTGTGCCCACGCCCTCCCCTGTCCGTTCCGCCAGTCAGCGCTGGAGGATCGGAGTGGGAAGGGGGGGATCCCTGCAGGGAGCCGTGAGTGACAGTCACGGCTCTCTGCAGGGATAGATCGAGAAGTGAGCGAGCGACGGTATGTGTTCTCTCACTTCCTGATCTACTGAGCCGACCTGTGACAGTTTCATTGTCACAGGTCGGCTCAGATTATAAGGCTAAGTGAAAATCACTCCCCTCATAATTCTCCTTTTTAAAGGCTCTGCTTGGAGGAGGTATATATTATCTGTGTATAGTGTGTGTTCTCTTTTAAGATTAGTCTATTGTTCCCCTTTAGGATGTTTATCTGGCGATCACTTCTCCAGCTGCCGGAGAACCATGCAGCATTCAGCAGCCTAACAGACAAGGGCACGCATTCCCAGTACCTCCATCTTCACCAGGAATACCCCATCAAGAGCAGGAAGCTCCTGAGAGTGCTGCAAAGGTAAGTAGGCTTTGCTTAACTCTTTCACTGCCACTGCCTAAGTATTACAGTCTTTCTGCAAGTTGCATGGTAGCTTCAGCCTGGCACATCTTTATTATGGCTGCTCAGAGACCCACCTTCCAGAGACCTTTTACTGCTTGTAGAATGTAATGGAGTGGAACTGTCTTCCCTGCCACAAAGTGCTCATTCATTTATCTAGTGCTGAAAGAAGTGTGCTATATGGAGGAGGTAACATAAGGCACATCTCGAAAGTTGCAAGCTGGGTTTGTACCAAGAACTCCGATAACAATAACAAATGGGTCTCTGTTGAGTAAAGTAAAACTATTTTTTTAGATCTGCATAGGGTGGTGATGGATCAGAACCCTTGTCAGGTTTCAGCGTTTTCTGTGTGGCGGGGGGAGTCAATTTTTCTAATTATCTCAATCACCAATGTCTCTGGGAATGAAAGCGAGTGTAAATGCAAAATTTTGAGTTGCCACCAACATAGGAATGGAGGGAAAATATTGCAATGGGGGCATTTGTTCCTGTGACCGTAGTCTAAGAGGGGATTCCCCTCACTATGGAAAGATATCCTTTCACTTCCTGTTTAGTCTACAGGACAAGAAGGAAAACAAGTTTGGGCTTTTGATATACTGTAACCTTTACAGGCGGATAGATTTATGTTTTCATCGTCCGTTTGCTCACCAGGACACTTTCAGGCTTGGCTCACTGGTCTGCGATATTTGGAGAGACGAAATACTTGCCTCTGCTGGCCTTTCCATTTGTCAAGCTTTTCCAGAACAATCAGCTCATCTGTTTTGAAGTTGTGGCTACCGTCATAAGTAAGTTGTGTTTGTTCATTAAAGTATGTCATAGTGTGAACACGTATAACATTCACATGTGTCATTGTGAGCGTATAAGTCCACAGTGTCCATCCAGTTGTCTGGAAGCTACAAAACCCAGTGGGTGAGGATTGTACTCTTCACAAATGGAGGGACCCGCATTGTTGCAGCATTTAATAAGCTGTTATGTTCCTTTGCAGCTAACTGGTGTCAGCATTGGTTCGAATACTTTCCCAATCCACCAATCAACATCCTTGGCATGGTTGAGAATGTTTTGGCGCATCACGACAAGGAAGTTCTTCAGCATTTTGTAAATTTTGGAGTTACATCCCAGGTAACCGATGCATCTTCGGTCTAGCAAGATCACAAGTCGAATTTGTGTTTTGAAGATTCATAAAAACAAATGTATTGCCAAACAAAAAGTTTGCACTTTCTGGCAGAGAACTAAATCCCCCTCCAATCAGTTGTGCCGCATGGCAAAGGGGACTTGGTTTAATGTACACCTGTCATGTGAGAATGATGGAGGTCACCATTACCGACCACCTTGTATGAGAATTCGAGTTCCTTGGCTGTCATGCTGTTAGTTTATTTTCAATGCTTTAAGTCGCTAACTGCATGCAGGTATAGAGATGAGGAATGCTAACACTAATTTATAGCATGCTAGTTCCAGATCTGCAAGAATTATTGAAGTCAGGCAACAGGAATTTTCAAAGGACGCCAGTAATGGCAGATCCATACGTCTTTTATGGCGGGTGTGCCTTAAAGTCAACCTATTATTAAAATTTAAATACATAGTTATCGGAAAATAATGAATAGCAGCAGAAGCTGTATATTTATATTACGTGCATTTCCTTCAGAAGACCAGACTCTGGGCTTCATCCAAAGACCAGTCATATAACTGGTGCTCTGTAGGACTGCCAGGGAGGATCGCTGTCCAGAGAGAGCCCATGATTGGTCAGCTTTGCCTGATCATCAGTCTTTTAGGCCCATTAGCGCAGACCTGGACTCAAGGCAATAAAGATCTGTGTGTGTGTACAAAATACAGCTTGCCCCAGCATCACATCCTGGGCAGGCCTTACTTGCCACACAGGCCCAAATGTTTTGAAATTGTGTTTCTCTTTCTTTCTGATTCTCTTTGCATAAAAAGTCTGAATTGCTTTTTAGTGAAGTTCCCTGTTTTTGTAGATTTATGCCTGGCCTCTCCTGGAAACGCTGTTCTCTGAGGTTCTAACTAGAGAAGAATGGCTGAAGCTTTTTGATAATGTGTTTTCCAACCACCCCTCCTTCCTGCTGATGGCGGTAGTGGCCTTTATCCTGTGCTCGCGTTCTCCATTACTGCACTGCAACCAGAAGGAAGACATTGAGGTACCTTTTCCACTACTGTAATACAAGGAAGTAAAAGGCTGCATTACATTCATTTTTACACATCCTACCTCCCTATTTCCATGTTCAGCTTCCTTTGTCACCTGTTCACTCATTGTCCAATTAAATTGCATTGAAACTATGCTCTTTTCTCATCCAGTAGGCAGGTAGATGACACAAAAACTATAGCAGTGTCACCACCCTGACTATGCTTTGGGGCAGTGTGTGCGCATCACTCGCAATCTCTGGAAACCTGCCCGCTCCCATCTTTCCACCTCTTGCTTCCCCCCCACTCTTTCTTACCTCTCTCTGCTCCTTTTCTGCTGACCGCCTCTTTCTTTCTTTTTCTTTCTTTTTTCTTTCTTTTTGTTTCTTTCTCTTTCGTTTCCTCCTTCTCTTCTCTTCGAATTTGCCTGTTCACCTAGGAATTGTGTTTTAATGTGTCTCTACCTTTTGCAACTTATTTACATCAGTTTGTGTTTCCGCAGTATTTTTTCCATCACCGGAATAACCTGGATATCAATCTGATGCTTAAAGAATCATACCATCTCATGGACGCCACCCCAGCAGAAATCCACCCTCAGCGCCTTCTCAGTGAATTTGTGCCCCTCACTAAGGGACAGTATCCCATATTCAATAAATACCCCAAATTCATTGTGGATTATCAAAGTCAGGAGAGGGAGAGGCTTCGACAAGAGGAACTGGAATACTTACGAGAGAAGTATGGGAGACTTTCACTAATTACATGCTTCATATGCACAAATGTTAACAGAAAAATTTTGGACGTTGTCCTCAGATATTGTTTAATATGGCATAGAAAATAGCTGCTTTTTCGCATCTGTCAGCTAATCTTTTTGTAAAATCTTTGCAGACAGATAACCCATGAAGTTGAAGCGGAGGCTTTACGACGTAGAGCTGAAGATGAAGCCTGGTATCAACAACAAGAACTCCTCCAAGGGGCAGAGCAACAGAGACGCCAACTACTAATGGATGAGGAGAAAAGGCTGTTGTACCAGAGGCAGAGGTAAAGACCTTTGCCATTTTCATGCTAGATGGGGCGTCAACAGATGCCTTAGATGCATCTTTTATTTTCTGAATGGCCCTGAATGTAATCCTGCCATGTATTTAAATTACATTTCCATAGGCTGACAACTGTCAAACGTGAGGTCAAATTAAAGGAGCTTCAGCTTCTGGATGCTGCACGTAGGCGCTTCATGAGACACCAGCAGGATCAGCGCAAGATGGAGCTCAAACGTCTAGATGATGAGATCGAAAGAAAGATGTGCACACGAGAACGAGAAACTGCCGGTGTCATGCAAGATGTAGAGATCAAACAGATGGAACTGGAGGCCCAGAGACGTTTCTATGAACAGGTATGTTCTGATGCTGGACCTCATCTGGATGTTCTGTTGTGGTGTATAAAAAGAACCACATATGTATTCTGTTGGAAATATTATTATTATACCGGATTTATATAGCGCCAACAGTTTGCGCAGCGCTTTACAATATAAGGAAGACATTACAACCACAATAACATTCAAGACTAGATGGCAAGGAGGGCCCTGCCCCTGAGGGCTTACAGTCTAAAAGAAAGGGGCAAGTGTTGCATGAGGAGGTAGCGGTGTGGGGAAGAATTGTTTGAGAACGTGATGGTTGCATGGTTAGGTTGAGGTGGTATAGGCTTCCCGGAAGAGATGTGTATATGAACTTTAGTCTGTTTCAAAATGTAACCTAGTGATAAAACGTGGAATTGCTACACAGATACAGAGACATTTGGCATTCTTGACCATATAAAAAGGACCACTTAAAGTGACATTAAACTCAAAAGTTAAATCTTAATAGTTAACATAGAGTTTATGTAAAGCCATATTATTGTTTTCTTTTTTTTTTCAGTTTTGGATTAGGCAAATTATGAAATCTATGTCAGTTTTTCATTGCTGTGCATCCTTACTTGGGAGGTTTACCTTCTCTATCAGTCCTAGGGACCATTGTCTCCATTACAGAAAGTGATGGGAAATCCAAAGGTTGAGTTGTCCCAAGAACAGAAGATAAAGTAAAACTTCCAATCTCCAAACCTGCTCTGGTGACAACTGTTCTCTGGCTTAGTAGATATTCTCTTCTTGCTTGGGAAAGGAAAATCTCTGACAGGGATAAAAAAAAAAAAAGCCTGACTGTGGTCATAAACATTCCTACTCTATCCAACACAAAAAAAACGTTTTTACATACTGCTTTGCCGAAAGATAAACCTTCATGGTTTAATATGCTTAAGAACGTTATCAGAACAGAAGATGTTTCAAATTATGGTGGTATTATGGGGAGCATTATTTTCATACACACAGCTGACTTCCTGTCCATATGTCTACAGTGGAAGACTGCATTTATTTTTATAGCTCTTTTTCCAGAAATAAAAGCTACATTAGAGCAAGGGGGTGCAGTTGAAAATTGCCCAAATGTCAATTTTACAGATTACAAGTATGTTATTGTTATTAGTAGCTCCTTCACATAATACTACCTTTATAACTTTAATGATTTCTTAAAGGCAACCTGCGACTGTTAACCTGCTTGCTGCGTAGCTCTCATTTCACTTCTCTACTCACTCATGAGAAATGTTTTGGTTAAGAGTGCCAACTACCCCCTTGTAATGGGGTGGGGTGGGTGCTCGCAGTGACTGCGCATGACTCCGCAGATATCAGCAAAATGTAGAAATGTCACCAGCACACCCGAATACTTTTAAGATCGCAGAATGTTCATTTATTTGAAGTTCCTTGTGATATAAACAAGCCCTTTGGGGCAGCGCAGGGTCCCTTCATCAGGTTTAATGCTAAGCCTGATGAAGGGACCCTGCGCGGCCCTGAAAGCGCTTGTTTATATCACAAGGAACTTCAAATAAATGAACATTCTGCTATCTTGAAAGGATTCTGGTGTGCCGGTGACATTTCTACATACTGTACATTCACACCAGTTCCTACATTTTAAGGCGCTTACAATATAAAGTCTTTGTTACATGCAACCACATACTAGGGCCAGTTTAGACAGGAGCCAGTTACCTGCCAGCATGCCTTTCAAAACCCACACTAGCACAAGGAGGTCATGTAAACTCCATGCAGATACTGTATTTGAACTGAACCCTGGGCTGCTCATCACTAAGCCCATATTAGTGGCACATTTATTCAGCATGTGGATTTGCCAGTTATCATAAGTACTGATGTGTGCACTTAAAAGCTTCTGTGCAATACCATACAAGCATTCATAGCCACAATCAATGTTTATTTCTGCTGGAAAGCCCCTTCTATATTAAAATACTTTGAATTTTCTAAAGCTTTTAAACGGAGGGCAGCCAAAAACTGAAGGTGATGGTTCGGTTTGGTATGCTTGGAGAAGCCACAGGTGTATTGTTCTTTGTCATTTTCTTTACGTGAGTGGACTATGAACACTCTCCAATGCACCACATAAACCCTTTGTTCATTTTCACAGCAACTAGCTAAAGAACATGAAAGAGAGAGACAGGAAGTTAAAGGAGAACTTGACGCCAACCGAAGGAAGGCCGACCTAGAAGAACAGATGTTCTGGAGGCTAATGGAAGCTGAGGCTGACTTAAAGGACCCGAAGGTTAGTTGCTGCTTTGTCTTTCTGAAGAGCAAAGACATTAAAGCACAATTGAAGTGACAGAGATAGATAATCAGAAATACATTGTACTACAAACTCCATTGATATGGCCTAATCTACACTTACCTGTTATAGCAGTTGCAATACTGTGTCTAAATATGACTGTGCAGCCTAGTAGGTACCAGATTCTGACCACACTGCCCAGTGCATTCTGTAATCTCGCAGACCTGGTCAGACATGCACCTTCCCTTCCTGGGTACTACAAGTCTTTGAGAGAACACTTGTATGGGGATCCACACCAACATAAAACATTGAAGGGGTTGACAGAAACTGCATTTTAAGAGAAAATGGTATTTTAAAGCCTTTCCATGTAAAAAAATAATAGAAATGTGTCCTTGCCTGTATGTTAGTATGTATGGGTATGTCATTAGCACATTGCCTATCTTAGACATACCTGTCCTGCCTTATCCCTTCAGGTGCTGGATGAGAGTTTGACCAAAGCCGATCAGCTGTGCTCAGAGACGGAGTGGAAAATTCAGGCTCTTCACAAACAGCAGCAGGACGACCTACAGCGAAGCAAACATTATGAAGAAATGTTACAACTGACAGAGGGCATTAAAGATCAGGAGAAGCGGCTACATGATGTCGTTAAAGAGCTGGAAACTCAGAAGGCAAGTGGCAGCCATGTCTCTTTTTATAAAAGGTCTTCTATCCTGACTTGAGTTCACTTGTTCAGCACTGGAACTTATTTAAATCCAACTTTCTTGGTTTGATTGATGTGGGTTACTGCACTTTACCTGCTGTCATGCATGAATACAAATAAAATGGCTGTAGTGTCTATTATGATTTTGTTACATAAATCCTTTCTTATCTTCTACATGTGTTGTGCTCTTTTGCTCCTATGTGAATAGTGGGCAGAGGCATCTAACAGACTTGGGCAACTGGAGACAGAACAGCTCGCACAATCTACACACGATGCTGAGAGGAGGAAGTTCTTGTGCACAGGGAAAGTACAGGAGATGTTAGCAGAGGACATCTTACTACAGACCGACGAGGACTATTTTGGTTAGTATAAAAGTTGTCGTCCGATGATGGTGTAGCGCTCACCCCCGAAGGAGCCGCTGAATAACCGGGTGTTTCTATCCCCCCTACACCAATGTACCGCCCAAATGTGGATCCACAGCACACCAACACACCTTTGAACAGTTTTATAGCAGATTTAATCATAACACAACATATGAAAGCAACTATGGCAATAGTATACCCAACAATCACACGAAAGGATATTAAGCAGCAGGCTAAGGCACTCTGCAACACAGTAGCTGCAGCTATCTGCTGTCAGCACTGATGTATGCGAGGCCAATTGTCTTTAAATGTCCTCCCTTGAATGGGGTGTATGTCCCTTTAAGGTTTCCCTTTGGCAATGCCCAACCCTTCCTAGACTACTGGCCAGTAGTGGTGTCCTAAGCTAGCCGGCGTTGGGGCCCTTACTGTAGTGCAGGTATGAACAGCAAACAGGTTCTCAATGTGGCCAAAGGCCTCTCACCAATCCTCAGGTCAGTTGAAAAAAAGATGAAGACTGATAGCAGAAGCTGGACGTCCTCTCTCTTCAGCTCAGGCTCAGTAGGGGAAGTCATCTGGGTCACTGGTAGGAGGTTTTCTCTCATCCAGGATGTTTGCAGTCATCTCGGTTGGCTCCGTCTGTCTCTCTCTCTCCTCTCTCTCTCTCTGCTGGGCTGGCTGGATCACTCCGGCGGCTGGTTCAGCCGTGCAACTAGGCCTCAGTTCGGGTGCTCAAACAGTCTCTCTGGTTCAGCGGATGAACGTCAGTCTTTCAGAGTGCTGCTGTACAGATTCTGTGTGTCCCAATCTGTCAGTGGGAATCACACAGCTCTGCTGCATGCAGTCTTAATTCACACAGTGCCGCACACAGGCCTGTCTCCTCCAGATCCCCCAGTCAGACTGGGCACGCTCAGTCACTGCAGTACATAGCCCTCCTCCTTCCTCTCGCACAGCATCCTGGGAGTGGGAGTTCACAAGAGCTCTATTAGCAATCCCCAGTGTCAGCTCTGCACTGCAATCCCCACAAATCTCTGCCTCAGATCACACACAGGGACAAGTTAACTCCTTACAGTTAGGAACAAGAATCGCTGTGATAGCACATATATGTATATTATATAGGGGCTACAATCGCAAGGTGCATGGGCAGCTTCAGAGTGGCTCAGTCTTCTTTCTGAATGACTGATGAGCACACACTGCTTTCTTAAAGTGTATCTATAGTGTTTCATTAATCTGCATTCTCTATGATCTCTTGCAAAAAAAAAACAACTTGTGTAGATCTAGAAAGAGAAGCTGGAAAAACCATAACCAAAGTAATTCAAGAGGATACAGCTTTTACTGAAATACTGCTTGCAAGTCTGGACGCCCATAAAAAAAAAAAAAAAAAAAAATTATACAGCAATTTCATTTCTAGAAATTATCACAAATTTATATCTGCGTAATTTAAAATGAAGCAAAGAAGAACAAAACTCCTGTGATACATTTCATCCTCACTGACAAAAAGCATCTTTAAGGAGAGCTATGAGGTGAGTGCTTTTCACTCACCTCATAGTTCTAGCCGACCTGTGACAATGAGACTGTCACAGGTCGGCTCAGTAGATCGGGAGGTGAGCGAACACATACCGGCGTTCGCTCACCTCTCGATCCTGTCACGGCTCTCTGCCGTGACAGGGGAGGGGCGGGATTCCCCCCCGCTCCGATCTGCCAGCGCTTACTGGCGGAACGGATGGGGGAGGGGGCGGGTACAGCTGGCTCTGCCTCTAGATAGGCAGAGCCAGCTGTCAGTCACGCAGCTGGGCGGATCCCAGCACAATTGTCGGGATCCGCTTCAGCTGCGGCGTCTAAGTACACCGCGAGCTACAGCTCGCGGTATACTGAGCCTAGGGTGACGGGTGGACGCTAGTTTGTGTCCTCCCGTTACCCTAAGGAGAACTATGGGGAAAAGCCTTAACCCCATAGTTAACCCCATAGTTAAAGATGAAATGAAATCCGGCAAACACTCTCCAACTGACCATCAGGTAATAAGTCTTGATAACCAGTATGACTTTCCAGTATTTCTCGTACAGAAAAAGTACTCTTGCAGTACGGTGGTGAAGATTACTCTATTAAGTGTGGGGTGGCCGGTATTTATGCAAAGACGATACATATACTCATTTATGACCCCAAAAATATGGTTTGCCGGATTGACCTTCAGAGTATCGTGTGCTAAACACGTGTATGACCCCAACCCCCACCCCAGAACCTCCTTCTTAGTTTACAAGTAAACTTAAATTTTTGTTTTCTACAGAAAGGGTCCTGAATCGTGGTGTGCCTTTGAGGAATTCTTTACATGAAGATGGTGAAGGAAAGCAGGAAGATGGTCAGAAGAAGCCAGAAAATGTTTGCTTAAATGACTTATCTTCCTCTGACTCCTCCGCCCATTGTAAGTTTGTACTATAAAAAGAAATATGGGGTCGTTTGGAAGAGCTACCAAAACTGTATTTGATAGAACCTCTGTAACAATGTTTATAGACCTATCCAAATCTAGACATGTAGATGCTGCACATTCTACCTATTTTGTATTACATATGCATACAGGCTGCTTTTCTTTTTTTCTTTCACCTCTATCGACTTTTCTGTGGTTATGATGACAATTACTGATTCCGTTTAAATATTCCACTTCCATATGTTTGACGTTCCAGTTTACAATAGATATGTTATGTACTTATTTCAAGCACTGCAGCAGATCTGACGTAGGTGATGCAATTGGTTCACTTTAACCCCCATGCCTTTAACCTGTAGAACTTGCCTTTCCTTGACTCCCAGTTGCTCCATTCCCCTGCCAAGAGTAGGAGAAGCTCCCCTTTGTAAGTTAAGAGTTATTGACTTTCCATGCATGACAGTGTTAGTGCTTGGTCATTGACCCATCACAGTCACATGGAATGAGTCATGTGAAGTAAGAAGTATTTTCGTAATTCTTGGCATTTAAAAAGAGCAGTGGCGGAGCGAAGGAAAGGTAGTCAGAACGTGCTGCTAGGGAAGGAGGCTGGTAACCGCAAACCTGTTACTTTAAATCCAGACTTTCTGTTTCCACTACTGCTTGAAATTCCACAGTTCCAGGCCGCTCTTACCCCCACCCCTGATATAGACTTAAAGGGTTTCTAAACCCTCAGCTTTTTTTGCATATATCTACTGCTAGCAAGCAGTAGATATATGCAAAAAGTGTTTTTAAAAAAACCGGCTTTAACAACGGTTTAAACTTACCTGTGTCTTCCCCGCGCGCTCCCGTCCGAAAATGTGAAAATTCTCGGGCGGCCGCAAAGCATCATGGAGCGGGCGCATGCGCAGTTCAGATTTTCGACCGGGACGCGAGGAGAGACACAAGGTAAGTATATGGATGCGTGCACCCGCATGCAGACACCGTGGGACAGGAAGTGCCAGCAAGCTAAGAGGGGTCAGCGCTGGATCGGAGATTCGCAGCAGCGCTGGAGAGAAGGCTGAAAACTACAGGAAAGAAAATGATCGGAATAAGAGACATCATTTAAGGTAAGTGCTAACATTAACATGGGGGGGGGGGAAAAAAAAAGATTTGCCTTTTAATGTCACTTTAATGGAATTGAGCAAAGAGGAAAAAACACCAGCAGTGCAAAGATGTATTCATCGAAATTCTCAACATAAATGAGTTTCACCCGCAGTAGCCTGACGGAGCCTGTGGCCATGTTTTTTTTTTTTTTGTGTTGAGCATTGGAATGCTTAAGTTTACTTGATGCTAAAGAAATCATCTCCTCTATCTGGAACTCCTTACCCCAACCTGTCCGTCTATCTCCCACCTTGACTGCCTTTAGGTGTTCCCTAAAGACTCATCTCTTCAGGGAAGCCTATCCCACCTCAACCTAACCACTCAACCATCACATTCTCACATAATTCATTCCCACACAGCTACCTCATGTATCATTTCCCCCTCCTCTTTTAGATTGTAAGCCCTCAGGGGGCAGGGCCCTCCTTACCATCGTGTCTTGAATTGTATTGTAACTGTAATGTCTTCCTTATATTGTAAAGCGCTGCGCATACTGTTGGCGCTATATAAATACTATGTAATAATAATAATATCTACTGCTGTCCACTGGTGGAGTGGATCACTTATTTTGCCCCTTCTAGTTTATATCGCTGAACTGATCTCCTCCGCATACTTATTTCTGCTTAGTGTCTGGATATTTCTTGTACACTTAGAACTTTAATCCTTCCTCTTTGTACTGCTTAGTAAATACACGTGTAGGTAACACTGAACCAATTGTACTATTTTCAGAAGTGGCGAGTATTTTGTTTGAATATTTAACAGTGTGTATTTTTGTGCTTTTGTAGTTTCTCTGGATCGAGGTCGGAGAGATTTGGAGAGTAAAGAGCGCGCTCTAATGTCAGAAGTACGGGTGCTCAGACAGAAGTTGGCTTCCCAGGCTCGCAAAAAGTACCCAAACTCGCTTCACCCAGACACACTATGGACTTGATACCGGTCTTGTTACAAAGATGTTTTCATGTGATTTTGTATTTATTTTATTTTTTCATAGATTGGCTGTGTTTTGTACAGTTTGTTTTATGGTGTCCAAAGTTATTAAAAGCAGTCTTTGAATGAAAGAATAACGGTGTGATAGAGAATGCATTTCTTTCTTCTCTATTGCTGGGCACAGGAAGTCTATATATAACCTTTCTGGTTATACTGCTGCCTTCAGGAGGTTTGGACTGTGGCACAAAAAAAACAAAACAATCTGTAGGTCAGCCCAGGTTAACCTTTCCCACTACCTGCATGAAATAAAAACAGAGCCATAGGGACTATATCCCTCAATGGACTCCAAGAAAAGGATTTTACGGTGAGTACAAAAATCTAATTTTCTCTTCTGTTCACTGAGGAACATAGGGAGACATTAGGACATCTGAAAACAGTCCAACTGAAGGGTGGGCAATACAGTGAACAATCGCTAACAATGTAAACCACAGGAAACAGGACTGAAGCTCAAAGAGCCATTGAAGGACCTTATGTGGGAAGCTGGAATCAGATGAGGCTGAAATGTCTACCTAATGGAACTTGGAGGACATGTAAACAGAAGACCAGGTTGCAGAGTTGCAAATCTGGGAAACCAAGGCCTGAAGCCTGGGCTACTAATGCTTAAGTCTTTTTTTTTTTATCCTATAGTATTAAAAATAATCACATGGAATGGGGCCAGAGTTACTATGCACTAACCGGAAAAAGCACTTAGAAAGCTGCGGTATGGCTGCACCGCGGCAATGTGCTTCACAAATGTGCTCCGTCTTCCACTGGCTCTAGGACTCTGAAGCCAGCAGAGAGAAACTGAACTGAATGTAAGTTCTGTAAACCGAAAACGCTAGGGGGAAAGAGACCTGTCATGTGACCTGATGAGGTCAAATGACCGGCTCTCCTCCAATGACGGGGCTCTCTCTGAGAACTCCATGGAGCTTTGTTGGCTACACACCATGGACTATTTTATATGGATGGCCTGCGGTGTGCGTAGTGCAGCAGTGCATAAGAGAGACCAGATATTGACATCTCTCCGTTATAAATGACTCCCTTAGTATGTTTCTGCTATATCCCAATACTTCTGCCCCTCCAGCCCAGACACATCAGTCTCTGACCCTGGCATGGAGCTACCACGGGAGGTCCACCAGCACCAAGGTTGCCTTATGGATTTTATCCTGCGATCTGTATAGCTCTCCAGCATGCCGTTCCCCATTCCACACTGCCCTCCGCACCTTACCCCCACCTCAGCTGACAGGGGCAAGGGTACAGGTGAAACTTGAATAATTAGAATATCGTGCAAAAGTAATTGCAGTAAGTGCTGCAAAAGGGGCCCAAACCAAGTACTGAGTACATATGCATGCTTGTACTTTTCAGAGGTCCGATATTGTTCTATGTACAATCCTTGTTTTATTGATTGCATGTAATATTCTACGTTTTTGAGGTTGTGGATTTGGGGTTCTTGGGGTTTTCATGAGCTGTAAGCCATAATCATCACAATTATGACAAATCACGGCTTGAACTATCTTGCATTGCATGTAATGAGTCTATCTCATATATTAGTTTCACCTTTTAAGTTGCATTAGTGAAATAAATGAACTTTGCACGATATTCTAATTATTTGAGTTTCACCTGTAGTCGGCCCACTAACAGTCTGAAAATGAGGAGGAGGAAACCAGAGAGCAGTAGTACTACTCTTTGGTTTCCTCCTAATTCTTATTGCTGGCAGCAGGAACTTGACTTCATGTAAGTGCTCTGCAGGGCCGGCCTTAGGCCTTTAGGCGCCCTGTGAGAGAAAGCTTTACAGCGCCTCTCAGTGACCACACCCCTCAGTGGCCACACCCCCAGTAACCACACCCATTTATTACCCATATTAGGCTCTGCTTCTGATGCACTTGTGCCACTCCTCACTCCCTGCTGTCATAGCCGCTGCCCACCAACCACCCACCATCATTGTTGTTCCACAGTCCCCACTTCCAGCCTGACCAGACACTTGTAAACTCCACACCCCACTTCTAGCCAACACTGCACCGCTCCCCACTGTCCCTGATGCTACACACTACCCACCATCAATGCCGCCCCTCAGTCCTTGCTTCAAGCCTGTACTAGACACTTCAGTCCCCGCTTTTACTGTAACTTCGTCCTGCACACACTGCACAGCTCCGCAGTCACCCCCCTTCCACAATCCCGACCTCTAGCATGCAACGTACACTAGAGTCTCCACCTTTACAGCCACCCCAGAGTCAGAAAAATACAAACCCCCACTCCCGAATTAAAGACCTCTCCCTCAAACACAGATTACCTCTACCCAGCAAATAACATTCACGTCCCATCACTTCTGTCAGATCACAGCTTATCTCGGTCCAATAACCTATATTCACTTCCCCTTCCATTTATACAGCACCCATTGCTACTTTCTCTCTGTCAACCTGCACTGATCGACTCCCTCTGGCAAGTTCCATTCATCTCAGCAACCTTCATTCCAGCCCTGCCCTAAATAGGCCCTGTTGCCAGACCTCACATTGTAAATAAAAAGGATAATACGCATTTGCTTGTTCCCCCATAAAAAAAGAAACACTTTCTTGTGACATGTGCAACTTTAGTAGGGATCTGACCATTTCCTGGACGTGTGAGTTCCTGTCTGCTCCTGCCCTCTCCCCCTGCTGCTATATAGGCAGATAGCAGGAGCCTACACATGGATTTGTTGGCAAATGATAGAATTTCAGGCAAGATAAGCAATTTGCTATCGGTGTACCCACAAAGTAATTAAACAGAAGTGCCACTGGGAGCAGAATTGTTAGTGCACCAAGCAGGAGCTGATTGTAATATGTGCAGAGTGCAGGAATTATTCAGTGTAACGTGCATCGGCTGTGTAGGAGCTCTTAATATAAGCCTCTGTCCTGTCATCAGATAAATGAGAGGCTGTTCAGTGAACCTCAAACATAAATAAGTGATGTCGGGGGAATATTACAGAGCATCATTTGTGTGACCGCTCTGGGGCTGCTGGTGGTTTTGATGTCCCATACAAAATAGTGGCACCCAGCAGCAGTCTCAGGCCTGTTGAATATCATAATATTGCTAATTACAGGGAGATTAAATGCACAAAACAGTAATTTGACATACACCAATTAGCCCTAACATTATGCCCACTTGCCTAAAATTGAGTAGGTCCCCCTTTTCCCGAACTGTTATCATGGACTCCACTAGACCTCTGAAGTTATGATGTACCAAGCTGTCAGTAGCAGATCCTTTAAGTCATGTAAGGTGAGGTGAGGCCTCCATGGCTCGCAGTGGTTTTTCCAGCACATCGCACGGATGGAGATTTGGAGGAGTCAAGAGTCAACACTTCAAACTCGTTCAGGGTTATTCACAAAAGGGTGAAGAGTGTGGAGGAGACAGGAGAAGTGAACAATCTAGCACAAAATAGCTGATTTGGAAAACTTCTCCAATTCAGCTCACTTTCCAGTTCAGCTATGTTGTCCTAGATTGTTCACTTCTCCGGCCTTCTCCAAACTCTTCACCCTTTAGTGAATAACCCTGGTTGTGTTCCTCAAACTATTCTAGAACCATTTTTGCATTGTAGCAGGGCACATTATTATGCTGAAAGAGGCCACATCCATCAGGCAATACTGTTTCCATGAAGGGGTGTGTTTGGTCAGCAGCAATGTGTAGGTAGGTGGTACGTGTCATAGTTAAGCGCTGCGCAAACTGTTGGCGCTATATAAATCCTGTATAATAATAATAATAGTAACATCCACATGAATGGCAAGACCCAAGGTTTTCCATGCAGAACATTACCCAAAACATCACACTGCCTCCGCTGGCTTGTCTTCTTCCTATAGTCATAATGTTATGGCTGATTGGTGTACAGGAAGTCCCTGACTTACGAACACCCAACTTACGTACAACCCGTACTTACGAACTGATCTCCGAGACTGTACCGCGCAGCATTCCACTAGTAATGGTGCTCGTGCCGACGATCGCAGACGAGTAGTGGGTCTGGATTGTAGTACTGTACCCCCTGTTATTGAGTACCCAGCCTCTTCTAGGTCTGGTACTGAACAGGAAGTTGGCTCTGACTGTCATTACCCCATCATAACCCTGTATGTACTGTACAGTGTACTGAACAGGGGCATAACTAGAAATCCCAGGGCCCCATAGCAAACTTTTGTAAGGGCCCCCTGCCCCTGATCGAGTGGCAGGCGGGGAGAAGAGCGGAGCCGCTGTCCTCCTGTCAGTTTCAGGACGGCAGCAGCATCTCCGCCGTCCATTTTTTTTTTCCGGATCCCCGATGCCTCAGCCTTACAAGCGGGGGAGAGCAGCAGGGATCCCCCTCCCAGTGCTGCGGGTCCCATAGCAACCGCATCGGTCGCTATGGTGGTAGGTCCGCCACTGGCACTGAACACTTTTATTTGTCTACTTGTTTGCCTGTAACAATGCCAAAAAACAAGTGCTGGTTATGAACAGGGAGCACAGACAGCACAGGAGCACAGACAGCAACCCTTCCCTATGCTATCCAAAACGAAAAAAATGTTTTGTGGCTGGAGTTACACCTCAAAAATGTACCTGTTGCAACTTGCATACAAATTCAACTTCAGAACGAACCTATAGTCCCTATCTTTTTCGTAACCCGGGGACTGCCTGTATAGTCCTATGGGAACATTGTTACTGATAATTAAGGTGCCCATACACTGTACGATTCTCATACGAGAATCGCGGGAAATCCCGCGATCGTACGATAATCGCAAAGTGTATGGAAGGCGTGCGACCGTTTCTACTGTACGATACCTTTATAGTACGAGAACAGGGTCTCTTTAAAGCTGTACACTCCCTGAAATGTAATTTGTACTCCCTGCTCCCCCTCTACTCGCCAACCTCCATTAAAAAAATGCAAAATAGGGTTTTGGTTTCCTAATATCTCAGGTTTCTAGTTTTGTATCCACAAACGTACCCGTTTTGGCCTCATTTTTGCTAGTATTTCCTATATGTGCACTAGGTGGCAGTGGTCTCACCATATTAGACAAATGGGTGCATGAAATGTGCTGCAAAGAAAGCCCAGAACTTGTAGACTATTCAGGAATTGCTGTATGTTTGT